TGAAGTTAAACAAACACAACCACGGCACGCGTGCCACTTTAACATGAGGCACAACTTACCTTTTTCTTACAATCTTCTTTGGAGTGTGTGTAAAAACTTAGTAATGATATGGTGGTACAAGGTGGAACTCAGTCCCTTGCCCAGGAGAAGTACAGACTTTCCTTCTGAGCTACCTTGATCCTATTGGTTTTCAAAGAAAATGTCATTTTGCTAAGAGTAGTAGGAATTCACAATATTCACTTGGTTTTCAATCTCCTCCTAGTACCAGACACTAGCACTTTGGAGGAAGCAGAAGTGAAGATGGGGAGTTCATTGGGACTGTGTCTAGGAAAAGCACCCACTTCTTCTCAGGTACAGTAAGGCCCAGCAGAACAGAGTCGGCCATTCCTAAAATGTGTATATTTTGTAACTGATAAATTTAATGCTCCAAGAATGCTGTGTGTTTTTTTTTTCCTGTAAAAAGTTTCTTTAAATTTTCTTAAGTTTTGATATTATTAGACTGTTAACGCATCCTAAAGCATATTTCTGATCTTCCTTTTGTGGTTGCGGAGACTGTGTAAGGTTGAGTGGCCACCATTTGAACCAGTACATGTTATAAACATGAAACATTGACTGGGCTTAAGTGAGTCTTTCAGGGATGTGGTAGCTGTTCCAGGAACCCCGAGATTGTGAACTGTAAAAGGCTCTTTCTAGTTGTTGGCTCAGCCTTAGCACATACTCTTAATCCAAGAGTTTTTCTGTAAACAGGATTAAATAAAGTTAACCCTAAATCAAGAGGCAGAGTAAGAAGCCAGCTGACAGATGAAACAGAGAGGAGGGACGTTGAGAAAAGGGTATTTAAGAGAGTGTGGAGAAGAAGGGCTTTTGGCTTTTTTATTCTGGGATGTGAGCTGAATAGAAAGGTTTTTTTTTTTCCTTATGGGATGTTGGCTGAGTAAGAAGATCAGCTGGGTGCTTTCTTTGCCTCTCTGAACTATTAAGTTTTCACCCCAACATCTGCCTCCTGGGTCTTTATTGTTAAAATTGAACGATTGGAATTTTCTACTTTATAACAACAGAGAGCTATATGCCAGCTTCCCTCACCCTCATTTTTCTCAGGATCCCGTTCTGTATAAAGCACCATGACGTGGACCCTTTGCCAGAATCTGCCTAGATAATGAGCTGTTAATGCCATAGTTTCATTACTACCTGAATCAAGGCAGCCTGGACATTGATCCTGTTTCCTGTGGTTCCTGCAAACATCTTATTACTTCCCCAACCACTGTCCTTCAGTCTGCTTTCCTTGGAATCCTAGAAGTAGTAGGCCCGACAAACTATAATAAGAATTAGAAAGGTAGGGAGAGCTGCTCTAAGGAGCTCAACTGATGAGAGGAGATTTCTGTCTTCTTCCTAAGAGGCCTTGGGGATTGCAGTTATGGACTAAAGTGGCACGAGAAGAACCACAGGTAATGCTTACTTTGTATAGTGACTGCAGATTCCTGTAGAGTGACTGAGTTGTAGGTGGGAGCACTGTTAAAATGGTGGGGACATTTGTTAGGAGTCCAGTGCTCATGACTAGCTTTCAGGAAAGTAAGATTGATATTTAAATGGTAATGTGAAAGTAGTCACTGTTGTCTTGTTTTCACAAAAATTTGTTGCTTGTTTTATCTGCTTGACTGCATCTTTTTTCAGTTCTGGGTTAAACCCAGGGCCTTGAGAATGCTGGGCAAGCACTGTGCTCCCAGCCACTGAGCTTTTTATTAATGCTCTATGGACCTTTGATTCTACTTTTTTTTTTTTTAAATAAATAATAGGCTTTTAGGGTATTTAAGTTCAGGGGAAATTATTTTCATGCTTCTGTCTTGCTCATAGCTGTTCCTGTTTTTTGCTCTGGGGACTGACATATATCCTGGGACAGAGATGGAAGTCATAGTAGAAGAAACACTCTCAGTGAGAGATGTAAGTAATTACTTTGGGTTTGGGGGTCATAGTATCCTGAGGGCTTATATAGTATACTTCCAGAAATTGTTTGTACTCATTAGAAGGCAATTCAAAACACTGGTGAGCCAACCAAGACTTTTAACTAAGATTGTTATTGTTACTTTTTACTTTTGTGATTATCACTAGTAAGATAGAAATTTGAGCTATGCAGACAGAAGGTACACACCCATAATCTAGCGATTTTTAGGTTCTCAAGGTCGTCCTCATCTTTATCTGACTTCAAGGCCAGCCTGAATGACATAAAACCCTGTTTTGAAACAAGAAATGGATTTAAAAGAAAAATATTAAAATCCTTCATTATCTCTTATCCCATTACTATTAACATTTTGATATGTTTCCTGCTTAACACACATACAAAGTCACACAACAGGGTTGGGTGTCTTTGTATGTTTATGTGTATTAAGAAAACAAATGAATAATTGTGTTGGTGTCAATAAGAATTGGGGAAGTTAAACAGCAACAAATCAATTAATCCAATTAAAAAGTGGGGCATGGGAGCTAAACAGAGAATTCTCAATAGAGGAATAGCAAATGGCAGAGAAGCACTTAAATGCTCAACTCATCAGGAAAATGCAAATCAAAACGACCCTGAGATTTCACCTTACACCCATCAGAGTGGCTAAGATCAAAACCTCAAGTGACAACACATGCTGGAGAGGATGTGGAGAAAGGGGAACCCTCCTCCATTGCTGGTGGCAGTGTAAACTTGTATGACCGCTTTGGAAATCAATCTGGTGCTTTCTCAGAAAATGAGGAATAGTGCTACCTCAAAATCCAGCAATACCACTCCTAGGCATATATCCAAAATATGTTCAAGTATACAACAAGGATATTTGCTCAACCATGTTCATAGCAGCTTTATTCGTAATAGCCAGAATCTGGAAACAACCCAGATGTCCCTCAACAGAGGAATGGATGCACAAATTGTGGTACATTTACACAATGGAATACTACTCAGCAATTAAAAACAAGGAAATCATGAAATTTGCAGGCAAATGGTGGGAACCTGAAAAGATCATCCTGAGTGAGTTATCCCAGAAGCAGAAAGACACACATATACTCACTTATAAGTAGATATTAGAAATATAATGTAGGATAAACATACTAAAATCTATACACCTAAAGAAACTAATCAAGAAGAAGGACCTTGGGTAAGATGCTCAGTCCTCATTCAGAAAGGCAAATGGGATGGACATCAAAGAGGGAGAAAACAGAGAACAGGATAGGAGCCTACCACAAAGGGCTTCTGAAAGACTCTATCCAGCAGGTTACCAGCAGATGCTGAGACTCATAGCCAAACTTTGGGCAGAGTGCAGGGCACCTTATAAAAGAAGAGGGAGATAGAAAGACCTGGAGGGAACAGGCGTTCCACAAGGAGAGCAACAGAACCAAAAAATCTGGGTTCAGGGGTCTTTTCTGAGGCTGATACTCCAAACAAGGACCATTCATGGAACTAACCTAGAACCCCTGCACAGATGTAGCCCATGGCAGCTCAGTGTTCAAGTGGTTTCCCTAGTAAGGGGAACAGGAGCTGTCTCTTGACATGAACTCAGTGGCTGGCTCTTTGATCACCTCCCCTTGAGAGGGGAGCAGCCTTACCAGTCCACAGAGTAAGACAATGCAGCCAGTCCTGATGAGACCTGATAGGCTAGGGTCAGAGGGAAGGGGAGGAGGACCTCCCCTAACAGTGGACTGGGGGAGGGGCATGGGAAGAAAAGAGGGAGGAAAAGTGGGATTGGGAGGGGGCGAGGAATGAGGCTACAGCTGGGATACAAAATGAATAAATTATAATTAATTTAAAAATTAAATAAGTAAAATCTTAAAAAGGAAAAAAAGAGAGAGAAAGAATTGAGATTTTCAGTAAGCCTGCACTCCTGTATACGAATTAGAGGGGTCTCAATGAACTATATCTATTTTCTCTTAAAACATTTGTTTGTTTGTTTGTTTGTTTTCCTTGCTTCTCCCCTGTCGTAGTTTATAATACCTGAGCAACTTGTTAGCAGCAAGCAGCCCTAGGGCCCAGCGCTGCAGATAAAACCAGAGACATTTAATTCACTGACTTCTTAAAAGGGGATAGCTGCTAGACTTAGCTACTTGGCTCTAGAAGGAGGAGCCAGGGAATCCTGGAGTAAGTGCTGGTTCTCTGTCTAAGTCAGAAAAATGTGTGTGATAAGCTGCAGCATATTGTCACAAAAGACAGTGAAGCTATCTGTAGAGACTGAGGTCCACTTGTCAACATGGAACCATTGAACTTTAGGGAGAATAACTGAAATCCTGTGTAAGGAAAAAAATTCAAAAATCAGAAAGGGGTTTGAAGAAAGAAGGCTGACTCAAGAACATTACAAGTTTTAGGCAGCCTGAGCTACATAGTAAGGGCCACATAAATGGAGTCCACAAATATTTCGTCATCCACATGCTCACATAATGCAAACCCTACCATACAATTCTAGTTACCTGGCCTGTAGTAGATGCTGGGGACCAAACAACTCCAACATCTGCTCTGCTTTCCTTCTCAAACTAGCCCTGAGTCACTGGTAGACAATGAGACGCTGATGTTCACTTCTCTCTACTCTTAGTTTGTATCCCTCCAACTTTGTTCTTTTGGATGAGTTTGATTTAGGAATATTTTCCCTCAGGAAAGTGGGTATTGTTAATTATGCTTTTGTTTTCTTTAATCTTTGGCAAGTGTTGTCTGATGTTTTACATTGTACTGTGAGATCAGGGCTTCCACAGTCTTTTCCTGTGAGTTTGTTTCCTGGGTGGTAATTCAGGCTGGCTTCTCTTTGTAGGATTCCTAAGTGGTCATGTATCCAAAACTGGGTCATGTTTGTCCATTTAAGAAGTCAGTGAATTAAATGTTTCTGGTTTTATCTACAGTGCTGGGTATTTAACCCTTACAAGCATATGCCACCCACCAGGCCTAGTATTGTGAGCAGAACTTTAAATTAAGTCCTGATTGTAAGTGGCAGAAACTGTTTTCCCATCTGGATTGACCCACTTAGCTCTTAGAGGAGAGCTAGTTTGTGAATCATCGAAATTCTGTGTGTTTTTATCTGAGAACAGTAAAATAGAGTCAGACTTAAATTAGTTCTGGGTTCAAGATGCAGGTTTCTCCTCCTACTATATAGATGAGAAGCAGAAAACTAACATTGAGCATAATTTTTTTTTTTTACAGTGTTTAAAGATAATGCTGGAAAAGTCAGGTCAGCAAGGTAAGTCTGATAATATAATCTTACTTCTTTTAAAACCATTATCTGAAAGTTTGATGAATTCTCAAGGTTTATTCTTTCTGTGAGAGTTGTGGAAAAACATTTTGCAGAGTGTGAGGAAAAAAATATAGCTTAAATTTTGTACGTACAAATTCTCCTGGTCCTTATTTGCATACTAAAAGTAGTGGGGGATTAGTGCTAAATAAAGGTAACTAACGTTGGGTCAGATCTAGCTAAGTTGTATTGAAAAGAAAGCCAAGGGTTCTAGCACCTGGGACTGTTAAATCTTTTACTGGTTTCCAAAAATCACAGTAATTGAAAATTTAATTATACCTATACATTTCTATATTTTGTAGATTAGAAAATATAATACAAATGAAGAAAATAATAAGTTGAAGGTAATTGAAAGTGCTTCCCACACTGAACTGCATCAGTAAGCTTGGCCAGGTGCCGTAGTGCCCTGCTCGAATGCTCTGCTGTCAGGGTTTCTTTACAGGCAGAACCCTGGCTCTGTCACAGGAGGGAAGTTGATACACTCTCCGTGCTAGGCATCCCTGCAGCATATGTACAGGGCTTTGTTTACCCTGTAGCAGCCCTGCAGCCCTGCAGGTGTCTCCACCTAGTCCCAGTTGGTGATGAAGGGCCTTCAAAATTCCAGAAGATATTCCCAGACATCCAGTGCAGAGCGTTTCTCTGCTTTTAGAATGCAGCTTCTTACCATTGTGCAGTGAAGAGATGTGTTAACTTGCAACTCATTATTTATTAAGGGCACTTAGATTATAGGGCCCAATGTGCTGCCCTGTACCTACAGGCCCAGCACTTGGAGGCAGAGACAGGAAAATCAAAAGTTGTAGGTCCCCAGGCCTAAAGACACACTCCTTTAGCCTCAGCACGATACCAACTTGTCTTAGAATTTCTGTTGCTGCAAAGAAAAACGATGACCAAAAAGCAGGTTGGTGACAAAATTGTTTATTTGGCTTACGCTTCCATGTAGCCATTCATCACCAAAGGAAGTCGGGACAGGAACCCAAACAGGGCAGGAACCTCAAGGCAGAAAGTGTTGCAGAAACCATTAAGGGATGCTGCTTTTTGGCTTGTTCAACCTAGTTTCTTATAGAACCTAGGACTTCCAGCCTAGGGATGGCACCAGCGAAGCAAAGGCAGACAGATCTCTGTAAGTTCCAAGCCAGCCTGGTCTATATAATGAGTTCCAGGACAGGTAGAGTTGTGTAGAGAGACCGTGTCTCAAAAAACAAACAAAATTTCTAGGCCAGACTGGCAACATAGCAAAGCCCTATCTCAAAACAACAAGCTAAACAAGAGCTGATAGTATATCTCAGTGGTAGAATGCTTCCCTAGTGTGTGGAAAGCCCTTGATTTGATCTACTTCTTACTACCCCACCCACCTCTAAAAAAAGGAAAGGAAGAAGAAAGTTAGTTGACAAATCTTAATGTGTTTAAACTAGAACTAACAGCCAACCAGGTTCTTAGAAAGAAGGGTACTGTGGAGAGTCAAAGTTGGGGCTTTCTTTACTTAAAGATAAATATAAGAAGTCAGTATTCCTTTGTCTGTTAGGTATATTTATCAACATTGCTATTCTTTTAATAACCAAGTTTTTAAACATGCCCCATTAAACATTTTCCCCACAGGGGGAAAAAAAAAACATTTTTTTTAAAAAAGCTTGTAACCAGTCTACTGAAAAACAGAACTCTAGTCAAAATTTATTTAACATTTGTAAATACTCACACCCATTTCATTAACTTGTTTTGTTTTGTTTTAGATTAACTGCTAAGTAGACAGGGATAGTTTCTTTCTACACCCTAGAAAATTCAGCAAACTAAAATTCAACTTCCTAAGGCTTTCAGAAGAAATTCTATACTTAGGAGAGAGAGAGAGAGAGAGTGTGTGTGTGTGTGTGTCTGTGTCTGTGTGTGACCTAGTATACATGTTACTAAGGTACAAAGTAAACACTGTAGCCCAGCAGCAAGTACATTTGTTCTCAGCTATGCTGTGTAGGTGGACCCAGGAGTTTGTACATGGCAGGTAAGTGTTGCTCCTGGGCTACATCCTCAGTAAGTATGTGGTTTTGAGTCACAAGTTCTTGTTGGGAGAAAAGCAAGCTAAACAAGTTGAAGGAACAACTTAATATTTTTCATATTGTGGAAGACATAATTTTCACACAAAAAAATGATTATCTGCTACTGGATGGAGCCTCATATGATACTTGTTGTCTATAGAAGGTTGTTCCTGGCAAACTCTTAAAGTGTCTTCTCTAACGTTCTTCATCTTGGTGCTAATTCCCTCCTAGGAGAGATGTGGCATTTACGGAAAATGGATTGGTGCTATGAAGCTGGCGAGCCTTTATGTGAAGAAGTAAGATCCTTTTTCTACATTTTTTTAAATAATTTATTTTATGTGCATCAGTGTGAAGCTGTCAGATCCCTGGGAACTGAAGTTACAGACAGTTGTAAGCTGCCATATCGGTGCTGCCAATTGAACCCTGGTCCTTTGGAGGAGCAGACAGTGCTCTTAACCACTGAGCCATCTCTCTAGCTCCCTCTACATTTCTTAAATACTTTGTAATTATATTGTGTGACTGATGGGGAGGGGGCAGAGTCCAAAGGACGATTTCATGCAGTCAGTTCTCTTATTACACCTTTATGTGGGTTCCAAGTTCACCTGGCATGGGTGGCAAGTTCCCTTACCCACTGAGCCATCTTGCTATCCCATATTTTTCTACATTTTGCTTTTAAAAATGGTTTTAAGCTTACTTCATATTTTCATACACACTTAAAAATGGTTAAGCTTATTTCATATTTTCATACACAATTCCATCTTCCTGTTATAGAAAGCAATTCTAAAGAAAGCTTTTATTCTTTCTTAGAGTGCAAAATAAAGTCTGTTAATGTGTCCACTTACATTCACTTTTTGCAGCTGTTTTTGTCCTAAATGGCAAGTGTGGCCTAGGTAGGAACATTTCTGACATCAGCGGTAAGGCCCTCTGAAAAGCAGGCATGCTTGAGTACCTCATCAGCAAACAGAGAATTTTAGAGAGCAGATGGCATGAGGATGCTGGAATCCCTTGAAAGACACTCAAACTCCAAGCCCCAAATACTTTAATCTCAGAATTTTTCTGTAAGTAAATGTCCCTACCAACCAGTCACATAGTCCAGCAGCAGGAAAGGTTTTGTCGACGTAATTGGAATCCAGTAAGTCTGTTAGTTGGTCATAAATCGCATCAGACCTCCTCATCCACACTCATTCTTAGCAGGTGCCCAAATGAAGCTCTGACATCCTAGAGAGCTGTGGCCAGAACTCTCCCCCTGCCTGCCTTCCTGTTGTCTTGTGGTCAGCATAGTCCCACTGTGTGCCTTCCTGCTGTCTGTCTAGGAATCAGCAGTGGTTTGCAGTAGAATATTTTTAAACAGGCACAATAGGACTTTCACTTGGACACTCTTTACCAGTCAGTCATGCCCACTGAGCCCCTTCTTGAGTCTTAGTGGAGTTGGACGACAGAGTAGGAAGCAGGCCTCAGAGAACCCTGAGATCTTAAAATTAGGTAGCCTCTTCCTTTCTATTGTTGTTTTTCCAGAGACAGCGTATTAATACATGTCCAGGCTGGCCTCAAACATCCTTCCTCTGTCTCTGCCTCCCAAGTGCTAGTATTACAGGCATCCACCACCTTGCCTCCGTATTTTCTTCATTATCAGTCCCCAAATCAGTATCAAACAGTTCATCTCAAAGCAGATTCATCGCCTTCAGAGCCGTAGTCCCTTTCAGGCTTTGCAGTCTCGTTTTCATGCTAGTCTTTTATGTTTTTCTCTCTTTCTAAGATTTAGTTCTGGCCTTTCTACTCTCTCCTTGCCCCTTTCCACCGCCAGACTGCCACTTGAAGCTTTGGTTTCAAAGGAACTTTTATTCACCTGTTTCAATTGTCTTGGAGGTTTACTGCCTTTGTCTGCTAACCTAGGCCTAGTCCTGGAAGCTTCTAGCCTAGGCCTAGAATGTTTTCAGCCTCTGAGAATTAATGCTTAATGAGCTTCTTACTTTCTTCTTACTGAGCTCTGGGCTGGCTGATTCAAATTAGCTGTTCTGGCTCAGACTCCTCTCCCAGCCAACTTATTCAATCTGGCTTTTCTTTCAGCCTCTGAATTGCTTTGCTTGGCCTCAGACTAACTCTAGAAATCTTTTATAATCTTCTGACTCGTCATTCTCTGGCTCATTCTGTCTTCACCTGTGCCCATCTTGCTTTCTCATTAAACCTCTCTGTAAAATTCTTTTGGAAAAACAGTCTCTCTCTCTCTCTCTCTCTCTCTCTCTGTCTCTTCCCTCTCTCCCCCTTATCCCCCTCTCCCCCTCTCTCCATCTCTGCCTCATTACCCCTTAAGTACCTTTCCTTTCCTCTCTCTTCTCCTGAGAGTTGGGAGAATCCTATTCTGTCAAGTCTTTCTCTGATTCCTTACTGTTTCTGCCACTCAATTAGACATCACTTTCAAACATGGGTGCTTCCTTATACAAACTGACTTTACACATTGGTTGGGATTAAAGGCTTGTACCACCACACCTAGACCTAAGCTTTTCTTTACCAGAAACTTGCTCTATACCAGGCCGGCCTTGACTCAGATATGCTTGCCTCTGTCTCCTGTATTAAAGGTGTCACCCAAGATCACACAGACGTAGAAGGTCTTTGGTGTGATCTCTTGCCAGAGCAGCCATGTTCTGAATCAAAATTCCTCTTCAGTTTTTTCTTAACTAAATTATTTCAATAGCTTCCCTGGCCCAGCAGACATTTCCTACCGCATATAGCCAAACCATCTTCAATGACTTTGTTTCTGTCCCACACCTCAAGCTAATATCTACTCCTCTACTCTACCTCATTTCCAGCTGCTTGCCACCTGCTGCTGTCCACTCTGACCCTTCCTGTCTCTCAGCTCTTAACTCAAACAGTTTTGATTGTCAACCCTGACTTTGCCTTTGTTCTTTTTTATTTTTTATCAGAAATTCCTTATCTTACTTTCTCTAGTTTTCCAATCCAATCTTTTTTCCCCAGCATCACTTAAATTTCACATTCCACAAACCATTGTCACTCTTTCCTCATATCTTTATGATATTTCTAGTTTGTACTCCCAGCTTGGTACGTAATGCTGTTCTGATTCATAGTGTTAGTTCTGTCTCCTTTGCCTTCAGCATCTGCTTCATTATTTATCTCTTCAGAAGATAATAGAAGCGTAAGACTTTAAAAGATCCAATGTTCTCTTTGTTCCTTTCAGAAGTCATAAGTGACAAAAAGAATTTCTATGTTCCCAGGATGCAACACTGAAAGAGCTCATGATATGTTCTGGGGATACTTTGCTTTTAACTGAAGGAAGACTTCCTCCTCCGGTAAGATACTGTTTCTAAATGGCCATTTTTTAAAGTAATTTACTGTTTTATGATGACTGTGATAATGGGGAATGAGAAAATGTGGGCAGTCATAAAAAATATCTTTGCCAAAATTTTACCATCCAGGCAGATTTCCTTCCTTACTTCTCAATAAAATTAAAATAGCTATATGTAAAACAAAATTAAAACCATTATATATTAAAATATATTTGGTTAAGTTAAAATTATGTGTAAAATCAATTACATGGAAAATGTTATTTCTTTCATTTTATATTTAACTTATTTTTGAGATGGTATCTCACAGTAGACCAGGCAGGCCTTGAACTCAGAGACTTACCAGCTTCTGGCTCCTGAGTACTGGGATTTAAAAGGCATGTCTACCACACCAGGCTTTATATTTAATATTTTAACCTTATCAAAAATCCATAAATTACCATTACATCCAAACTAATAATTTGCTGCTGTTTATTTCCAGTGTAATAAATTCAGCTTATTTTTATTTTTTTGCCTTTTTGCCTGTCTTTTTTAAATTTATTTTTTTTTCTTCACAATTTATTCATTATATATCCCGAATGAAGCCTCCTTCCTCAACTCCCTCAGTCCCTATGTGTATAGGTATTTGCCTATATGTATGTCTGTGTACCATGTGTGTGCCTGGTGCCCACAGAGGCCAGAAGAGAATGCCAGATACCCTGAAACTAGAGTTAGAATTGTGAGCTGCTATGTGGGTGCTAGCACTGGTCCCTAAAAGAGCACTGAGCCATACAATTAGTACTTAAATTCTCTAAGATAGGATTATTAAATCAAAAGGTATGCGTGGTTTTCTAAAAGACTTTTTTTGCTCTGTATTGCCAGTTTGTTTTCTTAACACATTCCTAATGACAGTCCTATTGTATGTGTGTGTGTCTGTGTGATGCACATATGGGGAATGAGGGAATGTTTGTATGTTTGTTGACACTTGTTGGAGGTGTGTGTGTGTGGGTGCACGCGCACATGTTGAAGCCAGCAATTAACATTAGTTATTATCATTTTCACCTTATATAGTCTCTCACTGAACTTGAAGCTGGCTGAGTCAGCTAGTTTAGCCAGGCAACTTGTCAGGAGCAGGACAACTGCTTGTCTTTTTGCATGGCTGCTGGGATCCAAACTCTAGTCTCACTTGCCTCAAACACTTTAACTGGAGCCTTCAGCTCAGCCTGTTGTGATGTTTGTTTGTTTGTTTAACACATCACTGCTTTTTTTTAAAGTATATATTTCTACAGGGGGATACAAAGTGAATAAAGTGTAATTCATAAATTTTTTTTAAAAGTATATATTATGTATAGTATTCTGCTTGCATGTACACTTGCATGCCAGAAGAGGGCACCAGATCTCATTATAAATGATTGTGAGCCGCCATGTGGTTGCTGGGAATTGAACTCGGGACCTCTAGAAGAGCAGCCAGTGCTCTTAACCTCTGAGCCAGCTCTCCAGCCCCACACATCACTGTTTTTAAGGCCAGCATTTATTTTTTTTAATGCAAAATGAGAAAAATATAAGACAAAAATTTTTTGAAATCCCAATATTCAGATAAATGACATTCACATATTAGAAAATTAAGACAGCATAGAAAGCTATTTGTCAAATGATAAAGCTCTAAAATGAAGAGGAGTAATATTCATGTCTTTCCCTTCATTTTTCTTGTGTATCCTTCTAAGAAAAATGTTCTATAACTAAGCATAATAGTTCAGTGAGGTTGAGACAGGAGCATAGTGAGACCCTGTCTCAAAAGACAAAGAAAAAAGAAAGTAGGGGGATCAAAATGTGCACATTTATAAGCTGCAAGTTAGTGAGGATACGCATCCTTATGCTCTCTACTGAAGGGTCACAGCTCTTGTTTTAAAGTCATGTTTTGTGTTTGGATTCACTTACCATGTCTTGAGGAACACGTATCAGATCTGCTCTTTTGTTTTTCATAATTTCATAGAGTCCTATTGGACTTTGCACAGTGATCTTTAAAGTTAATGTCCAAATAGGTAATATATATAATATAAAACTTCCAGGAAAAGGAATTCCTTTCCCCAGCCCTCACCACCCCTGTCGTTTCCAAGAGGCTTTTTCTGTAGCCTCCTGAGCTTTACATTTGGTGTGCGCACACTCAAATACGTCTCAAAAGTATATAGTATACATGTACATGCAGGTGCATTCTTTTCATTTGCACAAATGACTATATACTATATACCATACTTTGTGCATAGCCCAGGCAAACTTTTGAGTTCATAGCAGTTCTTCTGCCTCAGCTTTTCCCAAGTGCTGGGACCACAGGCATGAACCACCATGCCTAACCATTACCTAGTTTTTCATTTATATTTTATGTCTTAAGTATGTGCTGTATCAGTACATATGAAGGTATCTCATTCTGTTAGTAACTACATAGTAGTCCACCGTATGGAGGTACTTGTGTTGTGTGCTGGGGATAGAAGTGAGAACCTTGCATGTGGTAGTCTCTCACTCTACCACTCAGCTATGTCCCCAAACCTTTAATTTAGTTAGCCAGTCTCTTCTCAAAGAATGCTGGAGAAATGTACGTATGAGGGCTGAAGCAGTGGCATGTACTGCTTTACAAAGGACCCAAGTTTGGTTCCCAGCACCAACAGCAGGCAGCTCACAGCTGCCTGTATGTAACTCTAGAAGTGAAAAGTAAAGACTTAATCTTAAAATGCTCTGTTCTTCAGGGTTTCTTGAAGGTGCCCATCTGGTGGTACCAGCCTGCAAGGCTGTCAGGACACTGTGAGAGTCAGGACTATTCCACCTGTGCCTCTTCTCAAAGTAGCAGCTGGGGAGCTGCTCCCACACAAGGTAAGGACAGTGCTCTGGGAGTCAGCTGCAGTACTCATGCCAAAAATGCCTGATTTGAGGGACTAGAGCAGTGCCTGAGCACTTAAGAGAATTTGTTAGTCCTTCAAAGGACCTGAATTCAGTTCCCAGCACACACATTGTAGCTCACAACCATCTGTAACTCCTGTTCCAGAATATCTGACACCCTCTTCTTGCCTCCTTGAGGACTGCATTTATATGGTATACAAACTACTTGCAGGTGTGTGTGTGTGTGTGTGTGTGTGTGTGTGTGCATATGCATATATACATATGCTAAGTTGAAAATCAAAACCTAGTTACTGTTTTAAAGAAAGAAAAATCCCAATCTTTTGATTTTTACCAATAAAGACCCAGCAGCCAGGTATTGGGGTGAAAACCTAGCAGCTCAGAGAGGCAGATAAAGCACCCAGTTTATCTTTCTGCTCAGCAGATGTCCCAGAAGGAAAAAGCCTTTTTACTCAGCTCACAGCCCAGAAGGAAAAGCCAAAAGCTCTTTTCTTCCTCTCCATGCTGTCTTAAATGTGCTCCTCAATGTCCCTCCTTTCTGCTTAATCCCTGTCAACTGGTTACTTGCTCTGCCTCTTGACCTAGGGTTAACGTTAACTCTATCAAATGCTGTTTACAGAAAGCATTTGGATTAAAGGTGTGTGCTAGGGCTGAGCCGTACCACAGCCACCTGTTAGCAATAAACAGGAAGCTCTGGGTTAAAGGTGTGTGCTAGTGCTAACCTGCACAACTAGAAACAGGTTTTGCAGTACACAGTGTTCAGGTTCACAATGGGATCAAGTCTCCTGGAACACCTAGTCGTCCTTTTTAACAGGTCATTCCATACTAATATCCATTATTAAGCAGTGCTTTGTAGGCTCTGTGAAGCGCTGTGATCTTAGCAGTTGTACTAGTTTGCTTTCTGTTGTGATAAAACACCATGACCAAAAAGAATTTAGGGAGGAAGGGCAAATAAGACACGTATTTAGACGGTTATCCATCATTGAGGAAAGTCAGGATAGGAACTGTAGCAGGAACTTGGAGATAGAAACTGAAGCAGAGACCATGGAGGAAATCTGCTTACTAGCTTGCTTCTCAGGCTCACATCCAGCTTCTTAGAGAACCATCTGCCTAGGGGTGGCACTGCCCACTGTGGGCTAGGCCATCCCACATCAATCAAGAAAATGTCCCACAGGCTTACCTACAGGCAGTCTAATGGAGACATTTTTCTCAGTTGAGTTTCCCTCTTCCCAGATGATCCTCGTTTATGTCAGAGTGACCAGAAAATGAACTAGCATGGAGATATGGAGTATTACTAATACCTAGAACTTTTTCAAAGACCTTTTATGTAGCAGCTCTCAAGGACATCAGGGCAACAGTTACTGTCAGGAGCCCACATAATTGTGACTTCACCATTCCCATGACCACAAGGGAGGAGCCAGAGCTGGAGTCTAGATACATACTGCATAGTTCTGGCTTTCTGAGTCTCTCAAGCCCCCAAGAGCTGCTTTCCGGGTGACATCCAGCTGTCTTGTTTGAAATACAGGAGCATAAACTTGCTCTCACATGCAGAGTGCAGCTTTTGCAGCATGTGGGCACAGGGCCCCAGCAGGGAGGGAGCTGCTTTTGCAAAGTTCCACTTAACCATAGCAAGTGTGCTTCTTCTCTAGAAATGTGTATAAAGGGGCAGCGTTATGTTCTAGCAGCTCCACCTCATTAGGTGTATGAGTGCTCTGTTTTCATGCACACCAGAAGAGGTAGTCAGACTCTATTACAGATGGTTGGGAGCCACCATATGGTTGCTGGGAATTGAACTCAGGACCTCTGGAATATTAGCCAGTGCTCTTAACCTCTATGGTGTGGTTGCTACATATTTTACTTAACCTTTAGCTTTTTGGTGCCTTGAAGTATTACATTCTAAGTGTCAGCTGCGGCATTTGCAGAGAATCATTCTGATTCAATTTTTATTATTATTAATTCATTGTCAGTAGTTCTAAAGATATCTAGATGATAGAAATCATGATTGTACATAGAGAGGGGACAGATTTAAAATCATGTTTAACCTGTTTCTCCTTGAAAGTAAACAGAGAGTTCACCTTGGGTAGTGCTCCTGTGTCACAGTGGGAAGATTTTCTGAAAGTGTCTTTTGGGGTCATAAGAGCCACTGGTAAACTGGAAGTGGTGGACTGCATTTGTACTCCCCACTCTCAGGGGACTGAAGCAGGAAGATTAAGCTCCAGGCCAGCCAAGGGCTACATAGTAAGACCCTCTCTCTAAAAGCAACAACAACAAAAAGCCACTCAGGGAAAACCTTCTTCATTTAATTATGTAGAATCAACCTATAATTTCTTACTATACTTTAGCAGGGTATTCCATAGTAATCAAAGTAATATAATGAAACTAAATGAGTGTGCATTTCCTGAGTTTAAATTTCAGTTAGTATGTTGATATTGTTTTCTGTGAGAGGACGTTTGACATGCTCCCTCCCCACTCCCATTTTTAAACTGTTGTGTGTGGGTGTGTATGCCTGGGGAATATGTAGAGTGGAGTTGGTTTCCTCTTTCTACCTTTACATGGACTTGGCAGTGTGAACTTGGGTCACCAGTCTTTCACAGAAAAGCACCTTTCTCTGCTGTGCTACTTCACCAGCTACCAAGTTTACCTTTTAAGACAGGATCTTGCTTTCTAGCCCTGACTGGCCTAGAGTGTAGATCAGAATGGCCCCGATACTAGTAATCTTTCTGTGCCTGCCTCCAAGTACTAGATTACAGGCATCTAATCTAGTACCACCCACGGGGTGTCTTTTGGTTTGTATTTTATTTTTAAGCATACATAGATCCTCTTGTAAAGATTTGCTTTATTCCATGAATATGTACTGAGTCTTTACCGTATAGAGTCCACCATAGTAGACACTGGGAGACAAACACCATGACCACCTGCCTCCTCTTAAAAAGCCTATCTAAAATATGCACAAACACAGGAAATACACAGAAAAATTAAATATTCGTATTAAGTGTTCTGAGAGAGAACACAGTACCCTGCCAACAGTCTTCTGTGAGGCAGGAGAAGTGGGGAGTGCAGCTGCAGAGGGCTGGCATCAGTGTGAGCCATCACACTCCCTGGCTGCTGAGTGAGCAATGGTGAAATCATGAGCAAATACAAAGGACTCAGAGGTTCAGAGAGCAATTTAGTGAGCCTGTTTACAGTCTGGAAGAGTACTTCAGAAACAGTAATGTAAGGTTAGTCTTCCCAAACATGCATCTCTGTCCTTTTGAAGGTGTTCCTGGCCCTGAGCCTACAGAAGTTTCTCTCCTCTACTTGGGAGATGTGGAGATCTCAGAAGAGGCCACATTGGTGGAACTGAAGTCACAGGTCAGGTCCCTTCCTACAGCATAATTTGGTGTTGATATAGCATCTTCCAGGGAGATATTAATTAATATATTCTTCTATTTCCTCTTCCCCCAATTACAGTCTGTCCTGATATGGCATGTGTTATATGCCATGGTCAGGGGTAAGTACCAGCAGGCAGCCCACATTCAACATAGACATTTCTGGTATCTGTTGGTGCTGTTGCCCTGGTGGTTTCCACTCACCCAGTTCCCACAGGCATGCTGTGCTTGTGTTTGGATCTGTCCTCAGAGGCTTGTGGCTTATTTTCATTTTGACTTTTTAGGAAAACATAGCTTCTTGAACCATCTGTAAAGCATTCCCTTTATTGCTTCATTTATATTGTTTGTACATTGTGATCCACTTGTTAAATGTCATTAGTTCCAAGCTGTGTTGTATGGGTTTCCCTTGGTCAGCTGAGAGTTATCTGTATTAGGATGCTAACTGGACATTCTCTTGTCTTGTGTGTCACATTCTCATCATGCAAGTGGGAAGGCTGGATAATATGCAGCACACATTGATGAAATGGTATCTTCTTGTACCGTTAGACTGTGGTGAACACTGCCCTGTTTCTAAAGGGACAGACACAGCCTAGTATGACCTGTAGTGCCCCCCCCCCCCAATGAATGAAATAACCCTACTTGAGAAAGACACTGGCTCCTTTTCCATGAAAACAAATGAGAAGATCTTTTTATTCCTTATACTCAGTTGAAAGATAAAACAAGACCATTTTTAGGTGAAAAAATGATGCACAGTGGCTACTTTTCATGCTTCATCCTCAGTATAAAATGTGCTTGAAGTTATCTGCCCCTATAGAATTAGAGCAAGCAGTTTGGGCCTCCTTGTTGGTGCCAAAGTCTTTTAAATATGTCAAAACCAAAAGTCCTGTCACTGGAGAGCAGATTTACTTGGAGATGTGTTCATGTAGATGAAAGCTGAAGGTGACCCCTTGCTTTAGTCACACAGGCTCTGCATGTATGAGTTGTACCAATGTAGAATTCATTCTTAAGTGGCTTTGTAAAAACATGATTAAGAAATTTTTCAGTTCAAGTGTAGTGGCACATGCCTTTAATCCCAGCATTTGGGAAGCAGAAGCAGGTGGCTCTATGTGAATTCAAGGCCAGCCTGGTCTACATAGTGAGTTCCAGGACAGCAGGACTACACAGAGAAACCCTGTCTCAAAACAACAAACAACAACAAAAAAAGTTTTTCAGCCAGGAGTGCTGATATACACCTATAAATACAGTACCTAAGAGGTTGGGCAGGAGGATTACCCAAACTGGGCTGCAGAGCAGGAACCTCAAATTTTAGAAACAATAAAATAAAGAGGCCTTGTTTTTTTGTTTTTTGTTTTTTTTAAACTTGTATTTAGAAATACAAGCTTGTTTTTTTTTTTCCTACTCTTTTTCAGCAGAAAAGAATATGAAAATTACCAGAACATGCTTTATTTAAGACAGATATTTCTGTAATGTTTTGGCTTTTTGAGAAAGGATCTGATGTATCCCAGGCCAGCCTGCGATACAAACATGTAGCTAATCCTCCTGCCTCCACCTCCCAAGTGTTGTGGTTGTGGGCATGACCTACCACAACCAGCTCTTCTGTGGTTTCTAATAGATTTATTGACACAGAGGTGCTCGTTCCTCAGTCAGGTAGTGCTTCATTCAGGTGCTTTTGAGTGCTTTTAAAATCAGTGGCAAAATGTCTGTTTCTTTTTCTAGGCCATGGCTTTGCCTTTTGTTTCAAAGCTCGCTGTCCGGTCCACAGCCCTGCTTAGAGTCTGGACAGTGGAGAGCAAGCGCCCCAGCAGGCTCTTGCGCCCTGACTGGCAGCAGCTCAAGTAAGTGTTTCAGTGGATTCCTAGCCTGCTGCCATGGTAGGGGCTAAAGAGCAAGAAAGCCCTGTGTGAAGCTGTCCCATGAGTCAGATTACCCCAGAAAACCCAACCCTTGTCAATTGGATAAGCTCCTTGTCCCAAGTTAACTCTGTGACAGTGTCAGCCTCCATACTAAGATCAGACCTAGCATTGTACAGAGACCACGTGATCATAACTTAAAAGACTACAGAGTGATGTGGGAGTTAGAGAGAGCTCTCTGATATTCAGGACACAGGTGTGATCAGCTACTCCACCTCCAGAACTCATGACATATTTGGGGCATTTGATTTACTTTCAATTTCCTGTAGCAAAAACAGTCCTAACATGTTCTTTTTTGTCTGTCTGATTATCAACCAAAAAGCAACCCAACCAACCATGGCCAGAGAGCTGTTTTATTGGCATCTAGCCATCTTCACAGAGCTGGGCCTCCAAGTACAGTGAGGAATGACCCGATATCCATGTATCTGTAGTAATTACAGCAGTGCTATAGAGGCTTTCCTATTCTGAAAGCCTGAAGTGTTTGACTGTAGCATTCAGAAAGCACCCCTTTTCTTAAGGAAAATGGTTAGAATTGGGGGCTGAGCTTGGAAAAAAACTAGTGACTTATTCAGTCGCTCTGCTTCAATTCCCAGGGAGTACAGGCTGGGCCAGAGAGCAGAGCTCTGCCTGGAGCTCCTTCAGAAGGAAGAGAACTTGGGGTAAGGAGCCCTGCTGCACACTTCCCACAGGAGGCAGTTTTCCTGGAAGTGTAGGCACTGATCAGTGCTGTTTCCACTGCTTCTGAATAGTCCCTAAAACTCTGGGTCTGACTGAAGCAGGAGTTGCACCATAAGTTCACGACCAGACTGGGGCTATCTATAAGAACCTGCCTCAAACACTCAGTTGTATGGTAGAGATCTGTGTGGCTTTCCTATAAATCACTCTGGTGCAACGGCAGTGAATGTTAGTTTTTTCATCATACTCAAGTTAACTGAGCCCATGACAACCTGAAAGATCAGTGATCCATACACAATGCCCTCCCCAGGGCACGTGATTTATAGTGGCACCCGTCATTCTGCCCCTCTACTACCTTCTTCCCAATGTCCACTGATGCACTGTGTGCAGATTGATGTGTTGCAGGTGTCTGTCACCCGGTGACAGTGCTATCTATGAGAGCAAACATGAGTATCAGCAAGTGCTTGCCTTCCTTCTCCCCACTGCAGTGGGGTTGCTCTGTCAGCCTATTCTGAAAAGTGTTCTAGCCAGGCCTGACTCTCCCTCAACCCCAATATCTTTCTAAGAGCACATTTGTAGACAGGGATATCAGGGACCAACTTGTGTGGACACTTTGGAGCTCTTAAATGTTTCTATCTCCTTGAAAGTTAGGTCATCATGGTTTCTGGTCCCATATACAGAGCTCTTGAGTATCAATTTTGCCCTCAAAGCGACGTTAGAAATTTATCATTTCGATGCTTCCTGAATTGGCAAATGAAAATGGGTCATCTTGTTCATGACTTTTCTAGTGCTTTGATTGCTAGTAAGACTGTTCCTTTCTCCAACATACTAATCTGTATTGGTGAGCATTGGTGAGTGTTATGTATATTTTGTATGTTTTTCTAGTTTAACAATCTGATTGGCTTAAACAACCCTTTTAGAGTGACTGAACTCTGCATAATATTTGTTGTAAATAGTATCTTTCACAGTAGCAGTAGCCTTGAGCCGCACAACTATGTCTTCCATGTACCCCTTCCACGCTGCTGTAGAACCTACCGCAGGGTCCCCACCTCCATCTGAGCAGCATTTGGGAACTAGAGAAGGGTCAGGGAGCCTTGCCCATCACACTGTGCACTGTTCATCTTTTCTGTGCTTTTGCCTGGTGCCCACTTTGCTCTTCTGTAGCCCCCAGGATGTGCTGCTGAGGACACGGCTACGCATCCCTGGCGAGAGGGCCTACACCCTGGCAATGGACCTGGTATGGGACACCACCAGAGGATGGACTGCTAGCTCCTTGAGGCAGAGAGTGGCTGACTTCTATTCTCTTCCTGTGGAGAAAGTTGAAATTGCCAAGTATTTTCCTGAAAAGTTTGAGTGGCTTCCAATATCTAGCTGGGTGAGTTGGGCTTTCTCAAGAGAAAGCAGAGCTGATTGACTTGACTTTAAAATGACACTTTTCCACAGTGGCAGAGCGTCCAGTGAAAATTTCAAGTTGACTTTCATTGATACTTAATTTTCCAATAGAATCAACAAGTTGCCAAAAGGAAAAAGAAGAAAAACCAAGATACTTTGCAAGGGGGACCATATTACTTGAAAGATGGAGACACTATTGGCATTAAGGTAGGTTAAAAGTGAATTTATCATTTTGAAACACAAGGATCAAGTATTTCATAGAGAAGCTTACCAGATAATCTCATTTTACACAGATTCTTTTAGAGAATGAATGGGAAAGAGGGAAAGACAAATAATTCATTGTGTGAGGACAGTAGATCCTTGAGACCAGCCTTGTCAAGGATGATTTAAAAATGGACTTAGGTCAACTTGCTTATGAACATTGTCCTAATTTCTTCTCTCATCACTCTTGAGAAAACACGCTGAACAAAGCAACTTAAGGGAGAAGGGTTTATTGTAGCTCACCATTCTAAGTTATAGCCCATCATAAGTCACAATGACAGGAGTTGAGAAACCTTGTCACATCACAGCCACAGTCCGAAAGCAGGGATGATTCATGCTTGTGCAGGATCCCATGTCCAGAGTTCAGTACCACTCAGAGTAAGCAGGTCTTCCACCTCTGTCAAGGCAATCAAGATCATTCCCTACAGGCATTCCTCTCTCCCAAGTGATTCTAGTCTCTGTCAAGTTGACAGGTAATACAAACCATCACACCCAATAAACAAAAATTAACTGTAAATAAAATACTAGCAAACAGTCAGGCATGATGACATATACCTGTAATCTCAGCACTTAGGAGCTAGAGGCAGGAGCATTGTAAATTTCAGGTCAGCCTAGTGTTTAACAGCAGTGTTATTTTTACTCGTGTGTGTGTGTGTATGTCTATGAACAACTGCATGCACAGAGGCCAGGGGAGGACGTTGGGTATCCTGCTCTATCATGTTGCACTTCATTCTCTCACTGACCCTGGAACTAGGCTGGTGATCAGCACACCCTGGTGGTCCTCCTGTCTTCACCCCATAGTACAGAGGTTGCAAGCATGAGCACATACCTGAATTTGTCCAATTTCTGGAGATTTGAATTGAAATTCTAATACTTGAGCATCAAGTACTCTTACCTGCTGAGCCATCCTCCCAGCCATACAAAGGAAAAACAGACTGTGCAGAATTGTCTCTCTGATCTATGCATATTATGTCTATGCCCTCCTCGAACACACACATATGCATGCAAATAAATACAAATACTGACTGAAAAAGAAATCTAGAATTTTTTCAAGAATCAGTTAAGTCTGAGTATCTTCTTTTCCCAGTTTGGATAGTTTATTCATGCCTGTTCTAAATGTAGGCCAGACTGAAAACCTTGGTCTTTATTGTTTTGAAATGTAGAATCTCCTGTTTGATGATGATGATGATTTCAGCACAATCAGAGATGACATCGGGAAAGAAAACCAGAAGCAGCTCGCTCTGGGAAAAAAGAAAAGGTAAGTCTGAGGCTTGGCCGTGTCCCACTCAAGGCCACCAGGGATGAAGATGGCACTCTTACTACCCTTTCAGACATCTCAGCTGATCGTCTGCAGAGCCCTAGTTGTCACCCAACAGTGTTTCAGGTCAGGCTCTGTCATCTTCATCCATGGGCAGAGCTGGAACATTGTGAAGTGGTATTGCTGCCACCACGTCCTACGTTCTGCCAAGCACCTCACCGTTTGTATGCTATTGGAACGGTTGTGTCCTCACCAGACTACACTGCTTCTCACTTTCTCCCATCTTAGTTGTTGATACTTACAATGCTATAGGCTTACAGATTCAAAAGCTACCAAAGGGGCTTATTGTGAACTCACCTTCATAAGGGACCAGTATCACTGTCACCTGCACACCCTCTCAGAGAACATGCTTACCCTTCTTCACTGACAGACCGTCACTAACAGCGGGAGCGTGGCACTCTGCTGCCATATGTGAGGGGACCTCGGGTGGCTGGTAACACAGATAGTGGTTTATCTGTAAACCACTGTACATCTGTACGGAATGTCTCTGAGTACAACAGCTGAGTCAAAAAATATGGCTACTGGTGTACATGTACCTGCCAGTAGAAAAGCCAACAAGCTAATAAAAATACATAGGTAAAAACTGTGAGCACACAGTTCACAGAAAAGAAGTGTAGACAGCGTGTCAGAATACAGAAAATGCTCAGCTAAGTTCATTCATCAACAAAATTTCAGTTCATACCACTACTGAAATGCCACCCTGGTGAGAAGACAGTGCCTGGGTCAGTGGCATACTGGCAAGTATAGAGCTGGAACGCCACTTTGGAGGTGCTTCCAGAACACATATCTGTCACAGAGTAGCACCCTCAGGAACTCATTTTTAGCAGACTCAGAAAGTGCACAGTGGCCTGAGCTCAGCCTTAGCGGAAGTCATCTGCAGAGGGCATTGTGCAGTATCAATGCCAGACCCAGCAGCCACAGTACCATGATTGTGTTTGGAAGTCACAGTGATCAGACTAGGCTGCTAAGTCATGAGAGTGGTGACTGGTTCCCAAGGAACAGGCACTGAGGGAGCAAAAAGGAGCCATCTGAACTGTCATATAGGCGTGTGGGTATGATTTGGGTACATTGTGAATATTAACTTTCAGTTTAAAATGTGGAGAAAACGTTACTCTGCTGTGAAATGATTGTGCACAGCAGTCTGTAACAATATATAGCCAGGATGTGTGGAAACCCTTCTCACAGGGATTGCATGAGAGTGAACTGGGGTCCTCAAATGGGCACTTTCAAAATACCTGTTCAACTCACAAACCCTATTCTACCTTTAGCCCTAGTATCTGGAAATCATTTGGGAGACAGTCTAAGCACAGGGATTGGGGATGACTCTTGCTGTTTTTGCAGAGGACCTAGCTTCAGTTCCCAGCACCCACACAGTGGTTCACAACCATTTATACATATATTGTTCCGGGGAATCCATTGCCCTCTTCTGACCTCCATGGGTACCAGGGATGCAGGCAAAGCGCTCACATACATAAAAATAAATCTTAAACCAAAAAACTAAATAAGCCCCTCACCCATGACTGTTGTGTCAGTGACACCCTCTTGTCTCCCACAGCCGGGAAGCCCTACGTGTACAGAGCAGCAGTGATGTGTTCTCCAATGCAGGGATGTCCACTCAGCCCCGGGGGCCAGAAGCTTCTCTGTCCATCCGTGTCGCGAGCTTCAGATAGCCCCTGTAGCAGTATGTACTGTGTTCCACAAAGAACTGTTCTGCCAGTTCTGTGACAGCCACCTTGTGGGTTTATGGTGAACAAGCTGGTTGCCTCCTTAGCCATTGATTTCAAGTCCTCAGCTTTGTGACAAGCAAAGAAATTACACTTCTAAGGCCAAACAAGTGCACCTGACCACCAGCTCTGTGACATAGCAGTCTCAGAGCGGGCCCATACTGTGCCAAGCAGAATAGACTTTCCATGCCTGGCCCAGTGGCCTCTTTCCAGTATACTCCTGGACAGTGACGAGTTGCTCAAAGAGGACAAACCTGACAGGTAAGACACACACTCAGTCATCTAGTTCTGGCACCTCACTGAAGCCTCAAGGAAAGGTGTGTCCTGACTCCCTTCCCAGTCCAGCCCTCACTATTGCATGTGCCTCCTCTTGGGCCAAGTTCAAAGTAGGACTTACAACAGCTATGCAGAAAGGCCCGTGAATAGTAACCATGGCTCAGGCTCACCTGCCGTTGGTGTGTTGTCTACCTGCAGCCTGGCAAGAGGCAGGGCCATCACAGAAGCCTGACACAACTCTCAGTTGTTCTAGACAAACTGGGAACTTTTCCTTCTCAGTCAACACAGGTAACTAGCTGATTTAAGAGAGTCTGTATTTATGCACTATAACTAATACACTATCAAAACAGCACCCACTACTGAACTGGTAGGTTTGGGACCCTAGGAGTTGTCAGGGCCTCAGTTTCTCATCAGCTCTTACATGTCTTCATGTAACCAAACTGAAGTGACAGGAGACAAGGAAAAAGTAACTCTGGCTTGGGCTTCAGCTAGCCCCTGCAGGCTAAATGGTTTTCATTGTGGCTACACCACAATGGCTCTTCCTTTGTCTTCCCCAAGACCATTTGCCTGTGTCAGTGTCCTGTTAGGTGCCCTCTCTGTTGAAGCACTTGTATGGTAAGATGTTGGACTAGTGACCTTTAGGCCATGTCCTTGTAGCTACAAACCAAGGGGTTCTGGAAGACCCAAACAGTAAACATTACTTGACTACCACTGGGTCCTGGCTACTGTTTTTTATACTGTCACTGACACAGTTCCTTAGTTTGTCCTTTCACCCCAGCTTCCAGCAGTACAGTACTGAGGTACTAGTTCAAACACTCTTCTTTGAGGAAGCCACTGGCTCCGCCACCCCCTTAAGTACCTGGAGAAGCCAAAAGACATGCCTTAAGTGGTGGCTGCAGCCCAAGCCTGTTGACAGGGCTCTGTATTTGTTTGGCTTTTGTTTTTAATTGGGGGATAAATAGGCTAAATGGGGGAGGAGGGAGCTAAGATTTTATTTAAAAAAAAAAAAAAAAATTTTTAAAGTTGCAGTACTCAGTTCTGCAACTGGCTGCTTTGTGTTCTGCTTGAAGGGAACTTGCGTAGCCTTTTCTCAAAGTATACTTTAGACACTCAACAAACATGGCTTGTATTAGAAACAGTGCTTTGGAAATAAGTATATTTTGACTTAAAATAAACATAGACTCCTGGGAAAGTATATTGGAAGAAACTGGCTGTTGCCTAGCTGTTTACTCTTGTGGGGAATAGGATCTGGCCAGGGCCAGAGCAGGAGGTACAAAGAATTTCCTGACCATCTAAAACTGGTTTCATAGCTCCTAGCTTCCCTCTACATCAGATTTAACTCGGCAGTGGCAGACTCTTCACACTGCCTACAGGAGCTCATGCTCCCTCTTTAAGTTCAGCAAGCCACATATCAATATATGAATGTGACTCTCTGCACTTTGTCAAGAAGTATGAATGACAGCTGCAGTGCTCCAGTTGAGACTTGTCCACAGCCTGACCTGTTGTTGTTAAATGACTAACTCAGAGCTATGCTGGCTAAACTGCCCATCCAGTGGACCCCCCAGAATACCATAGCTCTTTTTTGCTTCACAGCCCCCAACTCAACCTATCTGCAGAGCAGCTAACAACTGTCAGCACAGGAATGAGGACAGGAATGTTGACTGTGGAAGATCAAAAACCGGTTTGTTTTATTGTACACGAAGAACTTATTTACAACTCTCTGATGCAGACTATGTACATAACAATACAAGAGGCATCTGCTCCAGGTGGTCACTATAAATTAAAATTATAAATATGAGGGGTTATATTTGCCCCACCTGCAGGCACAAAACCTTAACTCTTGATTCCCCAGGGATCCTTCCTTCTCTCCCTCTCTAGACAGGACTATGGGCTCCAGGACTCTGAAGAATTGCTGTGGGGTTGCAGGTATGGTGTTTGGGACAGGGTGGTGTGATGGGCAGAAGACGGCTGGAATGCAGGCCTATCTATATGGCCACCTGGCAGGTCCCTCCAGCACTCAGACCAGACCTCTTTTTGGTTGAGAACACTGATTTTAAAACACCTCTCATCCAAATGGAAAGCTTTCTGAAGAGGTCACGGAGGACTTGAGTGTCACCTTCAGTTGCTTTTCCTCCTCTAGTACTTACCAAGTTTCAGCTGGGCTGGTACAGACTCTGACCTGTCTGAGACTAGATGATCCCTGCCTCCACATTCTGGTCTAAATTGACTTCTCAGTGGGAAATAGAACCCCAGGTGACGAGTGACAGCTGTTTTCATTCAGGGTTTCTTTCATGGAAGCAGCAAGTCCACAGATGGGGCAGATTCTCCCAGCCCACATCTGATATGTAGTGGATGGAACTCTAGGCCTGGGGCACAACACAGCAGGACTACAGGGCTGCTCCAGACCCAACCAGAGTCCAAGCTCAGCACTTCCTTCCCATGTCAGAAAGGGAGGCATTGGCAGAGTTCAAGCACTGTCTTCTCTGATAAGGACCACAACCCAGCAGCCGTCCTCCTGCCAGGGCTGAGCTAAATCTCTTTCCAGCTATTACACAAGTCCCTGTGGAGGACTGCCATCTCTGAAAGTGGGTGAAAGGGTAAGTCAGTGGCTGTGAATGCCTAGGGCATCCCCCCCCCCTACCCCCGGAAACTGCCCACAGGATGTAGTCTGGGACTTGGGGGAGCATCTGCCACCAACAGCACCACCTCATTCCTCAGAGCCAGTTCTGCTCATCAGATAGTAGCAGGGCAGCAGCAATGTGAATTATTGTCAAAAGTCCTCACAGACATTTCCTAGGACACAGGCCTCACTGCAGATGAGAACTCTGGGCCACCTGAGATGGACCCACACTGCCCCTGCCAACTATTCATTCTCCCGTACCATATGTTGTTTCCAGCACCCAGGTAGTTTGGTCTTCACAGGAGTGCTGAGCTAGTGTAAACTCACATCTTGTCTGCCCCAGATTGGACTGCAGCATCCTGAGAAGACACATGGGCTGTCCACATGCTCACAGTCCAGAGGACAAGAGACGGGAGAACCAAGTGTCCTGAGGCCAAACCTTCTTCAAGCCTGGAAACACAGCCATGCCACTTTCAAACCGGGAAAGTGAGCAAGTTGTTTAAAAAAAAAAAAAAAAAACAACTCATGAACAAAAGGGGAAGTAGCAGTGAGCGGCCTTTGCGGGGCTGCTGTGAAGAACCACAGAGCGGCTGTCAGGCACAGAGAACATTCTGGTGAGGACCACTGAGGCTGGACCCAAATCTGCTTCTGAGAGCCCACAAAGGCAGATATGGTACTGCTCAGTGCATCCAATAAAGGACACAGCAAAGGGATACACAGGACAATCTGAGCATGTGGCCCAGGTAAGAAGGGTCTGCAGGGTGCCAGGTGCTGGGAGGTCAGGCTTCATTTACCACATTCCATGTGGCCCACAGGCAGGTCAGCAAGAGCCACAAGTGGGCCTGACACAGTCTGCTCCACGTGACTGCAACCAGGAAAGGTATTCTCAAAGGTAGCTGTGTTGGTATGTTCAAGACTCCAAAGCATTACCAATGGGCATCAGGCTTCCTGTCACTAACAAAGGGAATAGCACCATGAGAAAGGCCAGGGGCTGAGTGGTAGCAGTGTCCTCCCTGGGCCTCAGTCTCGGGAGGAGCGGAGGATGCAGGCTGAGAATGCAGAGGCTAAGCCTCGGCGGCAGGGGAGCTCCTGCTCAGCTCCTTGATCCCACAAAGGATCCTCTTCATATGGCCCACTTTCGTCACGCCAAGGTCCTGCAACAGAGAAAACAGGCAACATGGATACCAGGAAAAGAGGGCTCTGGCGAGAGGCTCTACAAATGGCTGCCACCGAGCTTTCTCGATCTCGTTTGTGGGTTGTTTTTTTGTTTGTTTGTTTGTTTGTTTTGCGGGGGGGAGGTTTCCAAATTCAAATGAGGAAGATGACCAACAGATGAAATTAGGAATCAGCACAAATGTCAGTTAATACATACACCCAACACATGGTTCCTCCATCCTACAAAGACAGTCAGCAGACAAAGAGGAGAGGCCTGACAGCAAGTGGGTGGCCTTGGGAGAGCTACCAGTGGCCCTTTGCCTTCCTGGAACACAACCAGAGACAATGCCCAGAAGACATGGCCAAGCAGACCAGGGCTTGGCTATGTGAGTCAAGCGCAATGGGTGCAGACCTGACCACACATGCACAGGGAGGGGAAACCTGACCCTTTTCCCTGTGAGGTGAAGTGGCAGCAGCTGCCCAGAAGCCGCGTGGTTGCCTGTGAGTGCAGGCCTGAGAAAGCAGACTCTTCCATCTTCACTCACTGTAGAGTAAGTACCGTGGGGCCTGCCAGCCACTAGAACTTAAAAGCTTGTAAGCTGAGCCTGTGACCACAGGGCTGCATCCCCTAGTTTCTAATGTTAGGACAGCCCCTTCTTAATGTGGCTAAGAAAAGCAAGGCTTCCCCAACACGTCCACATCTGGCCTTGCTCTTCTGTGTCAGGGGGAGTCATCCTTGGCAAAAGCAAGGCCCATAGTCATGCTGAGGTACACAGAAATGTCCAAGAAAAACTGTATGATAACCAGTGATGCTAGCACACAAGTCAGGGAAGAGAACATAGCTGAAAGGCGTGTGTAAAGGCCCAGGTGTGGGTTCTGGGAAGACACCTGTGAAATACCTTGAGGTCCCTCCGCTCCAGGTGCAGGAGCTCAGAGCCCCGGATGTCGTGCCGCGTGAAGATGTCCTTATACTCACAGAGACTGAGGTGCTCCAGCCAGGCAGCAACCTCCTCTGTCCCCCAGAGGTGAACTGTCAGAGACGGAAAAGCACGAGTGCAGTGAATGCCCAGAGCCCAGCGCCAGATAGGCTGCAGCCACCACCAAGACACCCAGCAGTGGCACCCCAGATGCCTCCAGCAACCAAAACATCCCAGCAGTGGCACCCAAGATGTCCCCAACAGCCAGAAGGCATCACCAGCCACAGGCACAAGCACTGTGCTCCAGCAGTGTAAAGGCGACAGGCACCCTCCTGAAGGACATGCACTACAGAAGGGCTGACTACTGCCAGGCGGTCACCAGCCTTTCGGATACCTCTGTGTCCCAGAGGAATTAAACACCACCAAATCCAGAGGGAAAACCTTTGTGACTAAAGCCAGCATTTCCTCCAGCTTCAGAGGAGCTCGCTGCTGGAGTACTACAGAGACATGCAGGGACTTAGGCCATGCAGAGCCAGATCCACCATCATTCACATGAACTCAATTCTAGACAAACATGCAAAGATGAAAAATCAAAAACAGGAGCTGCCCTGTGTATAGCAGATGCCACACCAAATTCAGGCCTGGTCCCCAAAGGTGCCAGACACAGACAGTGCTCAGGGCCGACCACTGAGATACATTTTAAGCCCTGATTTACTGATCCAAAGGAGGAAAAACTTTTAGCACCATTTTCTATTGATTTCTTCACCCACAATCACTGGTGGCCTCAAGTGTTAGGCTTAAGAACCTTGATCAGTGAGTCGAAGCGTAATCAATGGCCTGCCAGAGGAAGCAGGCACAAAGGACCCCAGCACGGTCTTGAATCCAGAGTTTTGTGTCTCCCAAGTTTGTCAATCCTATTGTCGTCCTCCCCACCTCAAGCTTCCAAATTTAGCGTAGGCAGGTCAGCTCAGTTGCCCATCACCCCACAGAATGTGCAGAGTATGACATCAGTCAGTACCCAGACAGAAAGGAAGCAAGCAAAGTATGGTCTTTCAACTGTAAGACAGACTAGTATAGCCATAGGAATCATAGCACAAGGACCAAAAGGAAGAGCCTCAATGCTGAGGGAAAAGCAGAGAACAGGAGAACCAGGCCAGGACAGCTGGCACTGACAGCCAGAGAAAGACAGGAGAAGGTATGATACCAGGGCCTCCTAGGCTACTGTGAACTTCTTTGTTCTTATTGTTTTTCTCCTTTTTAAACTTGGTCACAAGGCGGAATTTACCACTGCGGCTGCGTTTACTAAGATCCAGCATCACATTCTGTTGGAGAGAATAAGAAACACTGAGAATCAGAAACTCATTTGCCAAGATCTAATCTATACTGGGGGTTGGAGTAGAAAGAGATACTTTGTTCATTAAATGTTTTATTCTCTCATTTGTTCTTTTACATCTGTTTGGGTACCTCTTAAACATGGTTAAGTTATTTATATGTGTGTGTAGGTCATGTATGTATAGGTGCCCAGGAAGGACAGAAATAGGGGCACTGGATTCCATAGAAGTGGAGTTCTACAAGTAATTGTGAACACCCTGATGTAGGTACTGGGAACCAAACTCAGATCCTCTGGAAAGGCATCTAAGCCATGTCTCCAGCCCCAACATCCCCATTCTTAGTTTGCTATACTGCTGGCAACGGTTCCAACAGACTAAGCTAGGCAGGGGTGCTGTATCATTTATCTCCTGTAACTATGTTAAAGAGGACATGGTCTCCTGTGTTATAGTAAGCCAAGAAGACCTTTTCTTTTGGCCCCTTCTGTTTCATCTCTAAGACACCAGAAACAGCCAAGGGCTTCTCCTTGCCATATGTTTCCCTGTTCTGTCTCCTTCAGCTTCCTCTCCTGCTGTAGGTGGACTTTATTCAGGCACAATATGCCCCAGATCCCTGTCTCCCAAACTACCAGATACACTAAGTAGGAATCTCTTAAGAACCTGTAGATACAAACTGTGAAAGGGGAATAGAAACACCAGCTCAGTGTCTGTCAATAACCTCCAAGAAGCTGCAATTTATCTAACCACAGCTTCACCTCTTACCAGCTGCTCTCCCTGCTCCCTACTCCCACCCCTAGACATGTCTACTTCAGAGGCAGTGAGGACCCATTTTCCAAGGGTCACTTTTCATTCCCAATCCTCAACTCTATCCTCCATGCCTAAATTTCTCCCTGCCTAGAGGACCATTTTAATAGAGAAGTCTCTAGAAGGCACACCAAGGGCTCCAGTCCAAAGCTGCCTCAATTCCCAAGCCATAAGGACTTCATTGCACACAGGGACTAATGTCATAACCCACGTACCTCTTCCTCACCAGGCTCCGTGGGCTGGCAAAGCCAGGGAGTGTCTGTCAGCTTCCTAAGCTGCTGGTCCATCTCAACTAGGGCAGCCCCAAGCCGTTCCTTCTGAGGGGGATCCAACTGCTGCTCCAAAGGAAGGAAGAGAGAAATGGAGATATTAACCACAGCAAGCCTGGACCAGCCAAGCCAGGTGGGTAAGGTTTAGATCAAGAGCCTTATCACTGCAAAAACCTAAGCAGAGCTGAAGTTACAGGTAAGGCCTGAGCCCCGAATGTCCCTTCCTTAGGGAACAGGTAAAGATGGATGGGCCTCTGCCCTGGCTTAGGGAAGCCACATGCAGCAGCCCTGGCACCTGGCCAGCTGCAGTCCCCTTGGGTTCTACCACTAGGCAGGCAAGCCATGCTCCTCCTGCACAAGTATGGGTGCCAACCAGCTCAGCAGCTGGAGCATTCAGGACAGCACCGCTTTGGAGTGGTGAGTGGGACACTAGTCTGGGGGTCTCCATGTCAAACTCAGGCTAGTGGGCAGCCATCAGAGCAAGCTCCTAGAACTTGGCAACAGCCCCAACTCCCACCCAGTGGACCCAAGGTTAACTCAGCAGCCAATTTCACATGCTGAGAGGAGACAGACAATAGCGCAGCACACCTGATGGTGTGACTGGCACCTAGCCACAGGAAGACAACAGAAACATGTTTTGTCCACCACATGGATACTGTTAAAGGTATCTTTAACATGTGAGAACACCCTGGCTGGCTGAGATGCTGCCAAGGAATGTGGCTACAACCCAATGGCCACATCAGATGGTTTTAAGGCCCCTTCCTTCAGGCTCAGGATCCTGGACTGAAAACGGCTACTCTACAGTGTCTAGCACCCTGGTGACAAGGATCATGTCACATTATAGCCAGAGCCCTCCTGGCACTTATCTGCTCACCAGGGCCATCTTGCCAGCTAGCAACAGCTCTGTCTCACTGCGCAGCACTCTGATGTTATTCACCATCTCCAGAACAAAGCTGTAGTTCAATCCCTGAGAAGAATAGATGCATCCATATGAAAGAACAAGAGCTACAAAAGAGAGAAGGAGCCAGACCCAAAAAGACCAAATACCTCTGT